AAAGAGGTATGGTCACCATCCACCAGTCTCCTGCCCAATTAAATACCACCAACATGCTCCAGAGGAAGGCATTAAATTTGAGTGGGGTGGAGAGAGAGAGAGAGAGTCAGCATCTCCTGATGTAACTGATATATCCCTTACTAGTGTAGTTATTCAAATAGTATGAAAGGGAGGTTTGTTGGTAGAGAGAATGTATGGATAATGAGAGGTGGAATATAACATGATTAAATAACAGAAGTGTTAAGAGTTGAAATTAATAGTAGACAAAGTACCTGTTTCAGAAATCATGGACTTTATCCACCCATTTTATGTCAAATTTTCTGTCTTTCTCAAAGTAATGAAGCTTTCAATGAGATAGCAGTCTTATACATCACTCTTAGTTATCAAATATTTTATTTTAGCATTGCAGAATTATTTGTCACAACTATATTTACATTCATACCACTTTACATAATTCTTATTGGCTCTAAGTGTGATATGATTGCGTGTATGGTCCCAGTTTTTATTCCTTCAACTTTTAGTCCTGGTCTTTTAAGTTTCTAGCAAAGAGAGTTTCCAAGTTTGCAGTGCTGCTGTTTGAAAGAACAAAAGCTAGGTATTGTCCATTTGAGGGCAGTTTTAATTCCGATGTTATTTAATCTAGTTACAGAACAGCAAAACTCATCAATAAGGAGAGACCAACTCAAATGCAATATCACCAAGTCAGCAGATCATGGATTCAAATCTGACTGTAGTGACTTTAGTTCATAATCCAGTCTGATACTTTTAGTGCTCTGCTGGGGAAATAACATAATAAGGGAAAGCTGAACTACTGGAGTTATTTTATTTCAGATGGAACATTAAACCTAGGTCTTATCAACGTCTCAGCTAAGTGTAAAGCTCCAATAGTACTGTTTAAAGAAGACCAGGGTGTTCTCTGGATATCTTGCCAATAGTTATCCTTTAACCACCACTCTCATAATCATATATCTGATCAGTTATATCCTTGCTTTGTGCGACTTCACTGTCTGCAAATTAGCTGAATGTTTGCCTATGTTAGAAACCATGACTACATTCTTTTAAATTATCTTTTTGACAGAAGATATTTTGGGGTGTTCAGTTTGTATTTCTGGGATTAAACCCACCGTCTAGTTTTACAAAAATGATAATTCACTGTCAGCCTTGGCTCAATGGCAACTTTGTCTTCTCTTCTGGAGGTCCTTGCCCTATTCTAGACCTTAAGCACATGGTTTAAATTAATACGTAAGTATATTTCTGAGGGAGTGCTCAACTTTTGGGAAGTGCCAAATTTCATATTGACATTCAACCATGGCTCAGTTGACCCTTCTAACTAGATGCAAAGATCCCTTAGCACTGAATGTTCTCCCAGTGACCTGACCATAATTTATGCTTTAACCAAAGCTTATTTAAATGTTTATTCATCTCGTGCTGTTTGTAGCACTTTGCTATGTAAATTGGTTATTGTATCTACCCGACAATAGCAGCAATTCCATTTAGAGTATTGCTTTCTAACCATTCATTCACGGACGTGGGTGTCACCATCAAGGCCAAAATGTTTACCCATTATATTTGTCCTGGAGAAGGTGGTGGTGAAACAGTGCAGTCCAAGTGATGGTGAGTTCTAAAAATTTGGCTCCGAGACAGTGTAGGAATATTTCCAAATCAGGATGGTGTGTGATTTGGAGCAAAATTTGAAGGTGGTCTTCTCATGTATTGGCTGCCCATATCCCTCTATGATGTGGAGGTGCCGGTATTGGACTGGGGTGGACAAAGTCAGAAGTCACATGACACCAGGTTATATTCCAACAGGTTTATTTGAAAATACAATCTTTCTGAGCATAGCCCCCTCTTCAAGCAAAGTGAGAGGGAAGCACACAGAACACAGAATTTATGGGCAGAGAGGTCAAGGGCAGAGGGATCAAAACATCACACAAATGGTGTGAGTAGAGTGTTGAATAATAAATCTCTACAGGTGATCAAAAGTGTTAGATGGTGTGATTAAAGTGTCAACAGCCAAATAACAAGCAAAGTGATGACCTGTAATCTGATTAAATGAGGCAGGGAGATCACTACAAAAAGTTAAAAATAAGGTGGTGCTGGTGACAAACCAAGTGACTGGAACAACATGATAGGTATAAGAGTCACATACTGAAGGTCTAACCAAAGTAATAAGTAATCCAAAACTGTAAAAACTAATTAAGGTAGAGAGATGATAACAATTTATCAAGGTAATGGTGTCAAAAACAGCTCAGGAAGGAAGATTTTACAGAAAGAACAGTGTGGTGGGGTCACAAGTAGTGCAACATGAACCCGAGATCATGGTTGAGGTCGTCTTCATTGGTATGGAACTTGGCTATCGGTTTCTGCTCGGCGATTCTGCATTGTTATGTATCTCAGAGGCCACCTTGGAGGACGCTTGCCCGAAGATCAGAAGCTGAACGCCCTTGACTGCTGAAGTGTTCCCTAACTGGGAGAACATAGAACATAGAACATTACAGTGCAGTACAGGCCCTTCGGCCCTCGATGTTGCGCCGACCTGTGAAACCAATCTGAAGCCCATCTAACCTAAACTATTCCATTATCATCCATATGTTTATCCAATGACCATTAAGTGGCGAGTCTACTACTTTTGCAGGCAGAGCATTCCACGCCCTTACTACTCTCTGAGTAAAGAACCTACCTCTGACATCTGTCCTATATCTATCACCCCTCAATTTAAAGCTATGTCCCCTCGTGCTAGCCATCACCATCCGAGGAAATAGGCTCCCACTGTCCACCTGTCCACTGTCCATTCCCGTCTGGTGATTTGTTGTACGGTGTCTATTCATCCATTGTCGTAGCGTCTGCACAGTCTCGCCAATATACCTTGCCTTGGGGCATCCTTGCCTGCAACATATGAGATCGACAACATTGGCTGAGTCACATGAGTATCCGCCAAGCAGGTGCTGTTAAAACAGAATTAGTGAGTTGTTTCAATGCTTCTTGTATGCTTTGCTGATGCTGTGTGCCAGTATAGCCTGGAGGATGTGAATCTTTACATTGGTAAATGGAATATGATTAAGGGGGGTGCTTTATTTTGGATAGTGTTGAACTTCTTGAAATTGTTGGAGCTACTGCTCTTGTTCTGCTCAGTGGTAAAGGTCATTGGTTTGGATGGAGCTGTCAAAGAAGGCTTAGTAAGTTGCTGCAGGACATCTTGTAGATTGTACACACTGCAGCCATAGTGCACTGATGGTAGAGGTAATCAGTATTTAAGGTGGATGGGATGCCAATTTAGCAAGCTGGTTTGTTGTTTATTAGTTGTAGAGTACATTAGCATATCCTGAGGACTTGAACAGCCTTCTATAAAATAAAAGTACATTCCTCCTTTAGTTTGTTTGCTCATTAAGCAATTGTTTGATGTTTAATATATTTAATCTTTGTTAATGAATCTATTACAATTTATCAATTTCTGAAATTGTAACTTCAAGAAACAGACTTCGTTCAGAAACTTTACATCATGAAGTTTGTGATATGGGATATTTCTTAGATATATAGGCTGGCTTAAACCTTCTCCAGCACTTGGGGTTATGATAATACGATGGAATATGTTATAGAGTATGTACATGTTTGTTCACGTGTGGGTGGGGGGGTGGGATCTAATTTAGTGAATAAAGATGGTCCAGATGCAAAGCATTAACAGTCAGATTGTTGGAATCTTTCCTTCTTCCCGGAGATATTTGCAAATGGACCACACAGGGTTTTTAAAATAATTTTTAATCATTATAACCTGTTATTCGGAATAGCTTTATAGTTTTGTTTGGTGCTCTTAACTATCTTACAAATTGTATCCTGAATTATGATAATATAACAAGTGCCTCGTATTAAATGTAATTACCCTGTGATAGAATGAAAGCCCTCTTGAATTACAGAGAGATATGGGTTCACAGAAATACTTGAGAGCAGGTCTTGCTGTGTGCCATTCTGTGCAAATGCTAAGGTTCTGTTCCAGTGATTGACTAACTCTTAAAGGTTAAGAAATCAGGACCTTGAAAAATGAGATAATAAGTTGTAGAGCTGGATGAACACAGCAGGCCAAGCAGCATCAGAGGAGCAGGAAAGCTGACATTTCGGGCCTAGACCCTTCTTCAGAAAAATGTTGCTTTCTGAAATTCCTATTTCATATGTTGTTCACTATATGATCAAAAATCTATAGATGTGGTAAGAATTGCTATTTGTCGGGCACCAAATATAAATTGTGCAAAACTGCATGATGTAGAATAATTTGGAAAACCAGGTGAAAGGTTTGTGATGAAAAGAAGCTGAGAAGTAAGATGGATAGAGATAACTTACCTGCAGCACACCTGTTATCCCTCTGATCATTGAGGTTATTCGTCCAGTCTTGAAGGATCTGAATTGTTTCCATGGTGATCTTATGTTTAATGATGCATTTGGCTTACTGCTGCCTGTAGTGATATTTTTCTTTAGCCAATCTTGGGTTCAAGGAGCAGTGCTGATGGTTTCAGAAGGGTTTGTCATCCATATTTTCACTGGCTGAAGTGCTGTAGCAATGATATAAACACTATCTCTGGAAGTAAAGACTCACATGTGTGAGAAGACAGAACACTTATACTGCCTGCAAAGGCCTGCCACTTGGTCATCTAGAAGCATGCATCTGCAAATTACAACTTTTGATTAATGCTATGTGCCATTTTCTTTGCCTGCTGCTACTGAAATGTGGTATCCATTTGCAATGTAAGTAGGAATTTTGTGGCATTGTGATTGTAAGTTAACACCGCTGACCTAGCCGACAGTCTAATCCTGGCAATATTGTGTCCCAATAATAGGATATTATCAACAAACTTGACTTCCTGGCTTGAGAGCCAGTAATGTGTTACTAAGCACAGTACTTGCCGTTGTGAAATCTGTGCTTCAATGTAGCAGTTAATTTTCTATTAGATTCTAGTTTCAAGTTATTCACATCCTGCTTTGCCAAAACGGTGCTGCCAAAATCTGTCGTGATGGGTTTCCCATTATTGAGCAGAGAGCAATTTCCGGTCAGCTGCAAATTCTGGCTTTTGTTCTCCTAGTGAATTATGTAAATTGTTTTCACAAGTGAATTAAAAGCCTGATTTAAAATCTGTATGGAGCCATGGGTTATTAAAGACTCCACAAATGTTTATCTGAACACTATGGCTGCATTGATATTGTGACTATATTGAGAGAAATGAGACCTACATTAGAGTGCAGAGAAAGAAGGCGTTGTTAATTAAAACCTTCAATGTAGATGGGTCACATGAAGGCACTACTGATGAGATGCAGGAGATGGATTAAAATCACAGAAAAATGAATCTTGTAACAAATTTCTCCTAATTTTTTTCTGTTTATATATCTTTTTCAGTGCTCAAAACCGAAGCACAGTACTCCTTGCTCTGCAATTACAGAGATAAGGAAGTGTACTCAGCTCGAGACGCCAGACAACATAAACACTTTTGTACTCAAGGTAAATAACAGTTGATAACTACTACCACAACAACTTATTTATAGTGCATCCTTAACAAAATGTCCCAAGGCATTTCACAGGAGCATTATTAAACAAAACGTGAGATGCCACCAAATTAGGAGATATTGGGTCAGATGATCAAAAGGTAAGTTGTAAAGAGTGTCTGAAAGCAGAAAACAAGGTAGTGAGGGTGGAAGGTGTGGGCAGGCCATGTCAGAATTGGAGCAGAGGCAAATGAAGGCAAGACCACCAAAACTGGTTGGATTAACATAACAGGAGCTGAAGGTGCACGAACAACAAAATGAGCAGTTATTAATAATGAGGCTACAGAGGTGCAAGGTCATATAGGCACTTGAAAACAAAGATGAGAATTTTATAATCAAGGCTTTGCTTGACCAGGAGCCAATGTAGGTGATCAGAAAGCACGGGGCCAGTAGAGAATGGGACTTGGTACAGGTTGAGACATGAGGCAGCAGAGTTTTTGCATGACCTCGGGTTTGCAAGGGATACAATGTGGGAGACGAGCTTTGGGGTAGTTGAGGCTAAAAATAACTAAGCTAAATGAAGGTTTCAGCAGCCAATGAACTGAGACAAGCTTAATCGGTTGATGTTGCTGATTTGGATATGGGCAGCACACATATGAGGCTGGAAGCTCATCCTTGTGTCAGATGTTTTACCAAGATTGCAAAGAAACTGCTTTTATCTCAGGTTGTTGCCAGGGAGAAAGCTGGAGCCAGTAGCTAGGAACAGAGTTTGTAGCAGTGACTGAAAACAACAGTTTCATTCTTCCTGAATTTTAATTGGAGGAAATTTCTGATATTCTGATATTGAATGTTGAATTCGCTGTCTGATAATTTAACAACAATACCGGAATAAAGGGAGGTGGTCTGAGGTAGAGCCTGGGTGTCTTATGTAAAAACTAATGATGTGCTTTCAGATTTTGGAGATGAGTTTACAGCACTTTCAATTACTTTGAAAAGAAAATGAAGGGTGGAGATGGGTTAATAATTTGAAATGAGAGTGGAGTCAGGGGCTGGTATTTTGAGTAGAGGGTTAGGACAGCAAATTTAAAGGAGAGAGGGATAAAGCTTAACAGAAGAAGTTTGCAATATCGACTAATGTGAATTACGATGGGATATTGTGTGATCAGAAAATCTATTAAGAGTAAAACAATGGGTTGAAGTGCCTTTAGGACATTTTGTGCGGTGGAGTTACACCAGTTGTGCTGTATTGAATTGTTTGCTGCAAATAAGCTCTAATTGCTGGTGCTGTAATAAGGTACTCAATAATGATTTATGTTATGTATCATTTAGAAGATGCATTATGAGCAGTGTTCTGAATGGTACAAACTGTTCCTGATAATGTCTGTCAAACGATGAAGTTTCCATGCTGGTGGTGTTGATTTTTCTGTCTCTTTTAACTTGTGAAAAGCTTTCATCATTGTATATTCTCAGTGAGTTACAGATGTTTCCATTTGAACAAAGAAACACCACACCTCACCAATCTGGAATCCACTTTTTACGACATTTTTGTGACTTTTTTTTATTGAAGTGCAAATTGTATTGCAAGTATTTAATTTGCTGGCTGCAGCATCACATATCTGGAGCAGTACAGCGAACCAAAATTCTTTCTACCTTCAGTCATATATTGGACAATTATAATGCCAGACTTTGAGGTTCTATTTGGAGGATTTTAGTCCAGAAATCCAGGCTTGTCTGATGAGCAAATTTATCTTCCATCAATGTGCAAGCTTTGCAGCTGTTGGTTAATTTTGTAAATATTCAACAATTGTAGAGGCCTTCACCTTTTTGTTTCAGAGACTTGTCCCTCTCTGAAGAAGGCACTTCCTCTTGGCTTGCCGTTCACAATACTTGATGACTTTGTGTCCCAGAAGCAAGTGGAAGAAGGAATTCAAGTAATTTCCTTCAGAAATGAGGAATATAATGTTGCAATTATAGCTTGGAAAATTTATTCAATTATGTGTCTCAGTTTTTGTTTGATCTCTGGAGGGGTCAATGAATACATTGCATTTGGTAGGATTGAATGGTGTTTTGTTCTCTTCAGCAATGTTCTTCTAAGAACTGTGAGAACTTAAAAGGAGCATTTGGAAATATGTAAAAAAAAACTGTTAGTATAAATGAGAAATCATAGAAGTGTTATTGAGCAGAAAGCGGTTATTTGGCCCATCAAGTGTGCATTGGCTGTCCAAATGAGTGTTGTGGCTTAGTGTAATTCCTTGCCCGTTCCCCATACCCTTGCACATTGTTTCTGTTTAAGTAATAATCTAAAGTCCTCTTGAGTGCCTCAACTGACTCTGCCTGCACCACACTTCAGGCAATGCATTCCAGGCCTGAACCACTTGTTATGTGAAAAAGTTTTTTCTCATATCTCATTTTGTTCCTTTGCAGATGACTTTATTTCTGTGCCTTTCATTCTTGAGTCTTTTGTGAATAGGGACAATTTGACCTTAAATACCCTATACAACTCACTTCAATGAGATTTGAAATATTCCATTGGATCTCCTCATTGACTTCTCTCCAAGAAGAACTGTCCAAACCTTTCCAGTCTGTCCTCATGACTGAAATTTTTCATCCTGGAACTAGTCTTGAAAGCCCCTTCCACATGAACTGCAATGCATTCAAATCTTTCTTATAGTTAGGCATCCAGGATATTGTATGCTTTATGAAATCTCTCTCCACCAATCCTGCCACCGTCAGTGATTTGTGCACATATGCACCCTAGCCCTTCTGCATTTGCATCCCCTTCAGATTTGTACCCTTTACATTGTCCACGTTCTTCCTATGAGAATGCATCACCTTACACCTTTCTGCATGGAACTTCATCTGTTACTTATCTGTCAACTTCACCAACTTATCAGTGTCCTTTTGAAGTTCTACTCTATCCTCCACACCGTTTTACTGATCTCCCGAGTTTCAGACCATCACAAACTTTGAAATTGTATCCTGCACACAAAGATCCAGATATATCTGGAAAAACAAGGGTCCCAATACTGTCTCTTGGAGAACTCCACAACAAACCCTGCTTCAGCCCAAAAAAACATCCATTGATGATTTTTCTCTGTTTTGACTCTGTTTCCTATCACTCAGACTTTGTATCCACGTTGCTAGTCTACCTTTTATTACACGAGCCAAAACATTTTACTTGTTTGTTTTGTGCCATTGTATTGAAAACCTTTGAAAGTCCATGTGTACCCTATCAGCAGTGTTACCTTCATCAACTTTCTTTGTTATCTCTTCAAAAATCTCCAGATGATAGAGTTAGCTATTATGACACAGAGTTTAACATCGTTTAAAAATTAAAGCTGTTATGCACTATTCCTGCTTCTTATTTGAAAAATAAAGTTAAAATTAAGGTTTTAGTCCTTTTATCTCTCCTTCTGTATTGCTAACTTACCCTTCTGAATGCATTGATTTCCTCCTGGTTGAATGCTATAAGCATCAGACAGTTTCCACTACATCATTCTGATACTACGACTAGACTAGGCTAGAATAACAATGTTGCCTAAAAGCAGCTTATATATTAACTTTCTCTTGGTCCAGTTACATGTTCAACCTAATCCTAACACGCACACAATTCAGTGCTCATGCTGTTAGAAATACCTTTTTTGATATTCTTTTCTACATTCTAAAATGGGAGAACAATTTGCCCAAGTTGTTGCCAGGTGGATTTAAATACCTTGAGATTTGGAGGCCAAATACCGAGCACAGGCTAGCACACTGATTACAAGGTAATTTTGAGGAATAATTATAATGTTATTTATGAATTCCTGTGCTAACTGCCTGGTGTAGCAGTTCTTCTAACTGAAACAAAGTCATGAAAGACATCCCTTTAGGATGACGTTGAGATCCAATAGACATAGCCATTTTCCTTTATCTTATTGATTCCAGCATACTTATGTCCTCAGTTATATTTTCCTATGTTGTTCCCCATATCTGTTTATGTATCATTTCCAATCCAAAAAAAATCTATCAACCCTGCAGTTTTGCATTGAATGCCAGCAGTACTCTTCTGTGCTTTGTTGTGTGATACTGAGGTATTCAGGCCTGAATCTCCAAAATTTGAAACCCAGTCTGTGCTGAGTTACCTGTCCTCAGCACATACAAAAATAAAATGATCATCCATTGTGGCCTTTGGCCGGAGAAGAGGAAAATCAGTCAGGGTTCTTAGTCGTGATATTTGTCAGGTGTCCCAGCTGGAATATATAAGTTTTGGGTGTGGAAAGGTCAGCTTTGGTTCTGCTGTTTCTGTAATAATTGTTCAATGTCCCAATATTTGTCAGCTAGGCTTATATGGACAAAATACCACAGGGCTACAGCACCCAAATTCTAATTGTACTCTGCCATTGTGTTTTATGACCATTATCATTCATATCAAATATTTATTAACATAGCTAATAGTCTGTAATGGCTCAAACTTACGGACATATTTAATATGCATTACACAGATAATAATGGTATCATGCACGATAAGAGTTCAGTTGAGAAGTTCTGACATCATGACCAAGTTGCAGAATTTCAAGTGTCAGAGGTAATGGGATTGCATGAAATAGGAACAAATTTAATAAATAGACCTACTTGGTTTGGTTCACATAATTTGGACTCATTATTCATAAATCAAGTCATTTAGGAACAGAAGTAGGCTATTCAGCCCCTTAATTGTGTTCCACCATTTAATGAAATAACGGCTGATCTGTGGCCTCCCTCCATATACCTGCCTATGGCTCATATCCCTTAATATCTTTGCACAAGAAAATAATATCCATCTTAGATTTAAATTTAACAACTGATCCTTCATCCATTGCCATTTGTTGAAGAGAGTCACAAACTTCAATCACCTTTCGTGTGTAGAGACCTTCCCAACATCTCTCTGGTCCCAACTCTCAGACTGCGTCCCGAGTTTTAGAATCCCCAACCTGTGGAAATAGCTTTTTTGTCTACTCTATCTTTTCCCATTAATATCTTGAAGACTTCAATCATATTTCAATTATTTGTTATCTGTAATATAAAGTATTTTGCAAAATTCTCACTTCATATTGCAAATTTTGAGTTTTTTTTATGTTGATGATGTGTAAAGGGACAAACCACTGTCAACATTTCATGTCATGCTGATCCAGAAAGCCATTAAGTGGTGCTGTTGCAGCACAGTTCACTATGAAGGTGGTATGCTTGCGGTCTCCATAAAGACTGAAAATCTCTGATTATGATGGGGTTTAACATTAATAAAATTAATGTTTGAGCAAACATATACAATCCATGTCTTGACAAATGGTTTTCCCGCTGCAGGGAAAAAATGAAAACAAAAAATTGTTGATCTATTTTCTCAGCCTCATGTCCAACCCGCTCCAAAAATGTTGCCTTTTCTGTGTTTGCTTGACTAGGTCTTTAGAATCCAGTTCCACTTTTCAGCCTTGGGCCTTGATGAACACTCCCAGCTCAAATGCCTGAGAGAAAATAGCAAATTTTTCAAACTAGCAAATTCCTAATAATTAACATAGAACAAAGAATGAAAAATATTACAGAAGTGTCTTCATGCAGAAAAAAATAAACAAAAGTATGCTAAAAGGTGCACAACCACAAAACCACAAACAAACACAAATAGTTAACCTAACACAATCACACTAGCGCAACCGAATTGCAGCAAAGCTGTCAAAAACCAGAAATTGAAAACATTTGTTTCCTTCAATGCCACCATTGAGTATGGTTGTTGGCTAGTGGCCATTCATGATTTTAGGTTCTATTCAACCGGCAACTCTGAAACGTGACTTCAGGTCACGAGACAGTATCCCTTTGCTCAACAGTTCTTCAACAGACCTATTAACGTCCACGTTATATTGTTGCTACAAAATCCCATTCAGCATTAAATCACGTTACTATATACGTACCCAAAAGTTAGAGACTGTTCAAATGATTAAAACACCAAGAATGTACATAGAAAAACACTAAAACAATTAAACAAACTCATAACTAAGACTGTAACACCACCAATAACCAATCATTCCAAATCCACACAAATGTACAGATTACCACTAAACACACTTATATTTTGCAATTCCATGTGCGATTTATATACTTATGTGTACAAATCACACCATCTTAACTTGGAACTATATTTTTACCTTCACTGTCACTGGGTCAAATTCCTGTAACTCACTTCTTAACACTATAGTTGATGTATCTACACCAGGTGGATCGCAACATTTCAAGAAGGTGGTTCACCATTACCTTTTCAAGTACAATTAGGAGAGGACGATATGTTGGTTTTCCTAGCAGTGCACACATGAAAAAAATTAAAATAAATCTAATAATTGCCAAACCTAAATACAATAATTTTTAAAATTGAATTTAACAAATATCTAAGTGACTTACTTTCAATACTGGTAGTACTAAATGCATCTAGCTTCTTCAGTCAATAACAATCACAGATATCCAGATGATTAACACTAATTCAAACACACACTTTTCTGAGTATTTATGATTTCGTATATATGCTTTGATATACTGCCAAATAGGATTGGTAGGAAGCAGGCTTGCATTCACAGTTCTTATGTAGGGGATTATTTGTGAAATCCAGGGATGGTGATGGGAAGATTAGGCTAAGTCAGAGAGAGTAGTAGATGGAGACAGCACTCTAATCTGCTGTGCTGTATTTTGCAGTAGCTTGTGACAGGATAGTATTAACAGAGGCCATGGAGCAAGTCACATGCTTGCTTTCTTAAATGGGGAAAGGTACATGCCATAGGGCAGCCTAAATAATTAGTCTTGGGAGCATGAATAAGTTTATTGTTGTATTGTGCAAACTTCGCTATCTGCTTTGAGTTTCCTCCCTTGGTGGAAAAATAAATTTTAGCAATAATCTAACAACAATAAAATAGAACTGTCATGGAAATTTGGAAGGAAAACCAGTTATGAAATCCCATAGTTAAGCAAATCCTATATCTAAAAAAGTAATTTTATAAAAACATTCATTCATTCTTAGAAAAGATATGGATGTGACTTTGAGGTGAAATAGACCGTGGAGTCTCAAGGAAGCAAGGTTAGATTTTTGTTCTTTTCCTTTGTTGAAGCTATTTCCTGAATCTTGATATTTCTCTTCTTTTCCCTTGAACTAGGTCAACAGCTTCTTAGAAGTTATTTTTGAAACTTTCAATGATCAACAGTTGAATTTGTGGACAACAGATATTAGAGAATGTATAAACGCATGGTAAGACTCAATTTCTTCTTAGTTTTCCTTTTAACATGTGAATGCAGAAAGTCCACATAATGGTACCAATATGATACTTGCACAATTACATAAAAATTAAAGTTGAAAGTCAGATTTCTGGTACCTGAAATATTCTGTTCTATAAAAGTTACTTTTTCAAACAGAACCAGAAATTCCTGAAAATTTCAGCAGGTCTGGCAGCATCTGTGGGGAGAAAATAGAGTTAACATTTTGGGTCTAGTGACTCGTCTGAGCTGAAGTTCTAAATCTGAAGTTCTCTCTGATTTCTCTCCACAGATGCTACCAGACCTGCTGAGATTTTCCAGTGATTTCTGTTTTTGTTTCAGATTTCCAGCATCCGCTGTTCTTTTTTTTTGTCAAGTTACTTTTCACCCTCATTCCTCTCAGTGTGACATTTAATCTCTTCTAAAGAGCTTAATTAATGTACTGCCTTGAGCCCTCTCTGCTTCTTAGGTGCTTCAGCCAGCTCTGATTCAATATCTGTTCCATCACATTGCGCAGGAGCATGAATACGCAGTTAGAAAACGTTTGTTTAAATTGGTAACTCAATCAGACATTGTAATAGTAAGATGATGAGTGAGTTGATATGAGTTAAACGAATTTTCATGTGCTCAGAAAACAGGATTTCTGTAAAAGAAATTTATTTATACAAAACAAGATCTGAACTTTGTCTGCGTTTTGTTATCTCATTATTCTGCCGTTTTTAAAAGTGGTGACCTGAATATAAAGTATTTATTCTGTCTTCCCTTTTTGGAGCTTCCTTGGCTTCAGAATTAAAAATAGTACAATCTGCAATTTGTTGATATGTATTTAGTACAAGAAAAAGAAGAAATTATATTTATGTAGCATCTCATTAAAGGCCATAAGATGAAAGAAATAAGATTTTCATTAAAAATGGAGTTATTCCTCTATTAAGGCTGTTACCAGTGAACCTTTCTTGTACTAAGTATTTTCAGTTTTGTAAGGCATGGTAACTGTTTTGTAAATCAAAATCTGTTGTATGTTAGTTGCTGTACACTGCTATGTTACAACATGACTTTTCAGTTCTTTAAAAGGATGTTGATAGTCATCACATCACATGCTGAATAGATACATTGGATAGAGTGTTTTGTATGTCCACAAGATTGTTTTGGTTTGTTAAACTAAAAATAAATATGTTTAAGTGGCATAGGCTTTGGGTCAGCTCTGTAATATGTACATGGTATTGAGATCATATTGCAAATTAATAAAGGTGAAATGGCACCATGAAAGGGGTGACCAAACTTGGGCTGATGTCGAGATTGCCATGTGACAATGTTTCTAACCTCACCTGACTCCAGTTCTGTCTCAGTTCGTCTGCTGAAATCCTCATCCATGCCTTTGTCACCTTCAGTCTCAACTAATCCAATGCTCTCCTGAATGTACCATTTGATAACAATATTGTTCTACATATTCTGCTGCCCTGACATGAGCAAGGCTCACTTCATCTTTTGATCTACCAGCTGGCAAGGAGACCCAATGTGAAGTATTTTCAGAGCTTTGAAAATAGATCATGTAGACCGGCAAGTCGGGAAACCACAGCATTACTCAGTGATAAAAGTTATAATCACAAAATTTGTTATGTGACAAACATTTGGAGTTGCACATTTCATCTATTCAATTTTCAAGAAACTGGACAGCTTTATTCACTTAAATTCTGTGAAATCTCGAACAAAAACTATGTTTGCAATATCACCATTTTAGCAGAAATGAAGGTACTAGGAAAGAGAGATTGTGTTCTAAGACTGGTGAAAAGCTAAGACTGATGAAAAGCTTAACATTGTGTTGCAATAGAATCTGAAGACAATACAGAAAAATGGGTCAAAAGCTCCTTGCAGCTACAAATATAGATTCATTTATTTTGCTCCGTTTTCTCTGAAGGAAGTGACTTACTGACCCATAGCAATTCTTTGAGTCAAGATTAAGAGAAAGTTCTCATAAGCTATTTAGTTGTGACAGAGTTTTATTGCAGCTGAGCTGATTCTGTTCATAGCTAATATCTGCCATCTGGTAGGACTGAGCTTAAATCAAATAACTGAAAATTAATCTTGCAGCTTTTTGGTGTTTATTGTCTAGTGCCTTTTCCCATTATTAACCCATTGGGGAACTAATTTTGCATTCTTTTTCTCAATTGTCCACTGGCTTAATTGTGACTTGTAAATTTAGATAAGTAGTCAAGTCCCCCAGTTATCAAAATCATAGTTTGTTGGGATTAGGTTGAGTTGTTGAGTTTATTATTTATTAAAACTTGGGCAGATTGAGAACTCTTGAAAGAATGTCAGCAACAAAGGATTAGGGTTTGGGATGGGAAAGTGGAGAATAATAAGCCATGATTTTATTGAGGAGGCATTTGGTCTATTCCTGCTTCCCTTTCTAATTCTTTTGCAAGAATTTTACGTATTCTTTCTGATGTAAATGTAAAGGAGATATCCTTTAGATCTTTTCTGAGCTACTGTAAATTTTTGCCCTGAAAACTGAAAGTACTGCTTCAGAATGAGAAGATAAAAACACTCTCTAGTAATTGAAGTCTGCCATTTTTGTATTTAATTCTCAGAATTTACATTGATTACGGAGCCTGTGGAGGTTTGATTACATGGTGCTTAGATAGATCTAGGTTTCATATCTTGATTGTGTTTCTGTTGGGGACAGGTAGGTTAAGAAGTTGAAGCAACTTTTCTGATTTTTGTTTGCCTGAAATTAGGCCAATTAAGATCAGCAGGTGATGAGGACCATGACCATGTGGTTTATGCCCAGCCGGGAACAAATTTATAAAACATGCTACCGACTCTGCATTATATTGAGGGCCTTGTGACACAATGGTACTATTCCTACCTCTGGGCCAGAAGGCCTGGATTCAAGTCCCCACCTACCATGGAGATGAATCAGAACCTGTTCCGAACAGGTTGATGAAAAAATAATTAACACTGGTTTCATCCCTGGCCAGTGCTGAGTTTGTGATCTCATACACAAGGTGTTAGTGGGAGGAATACAATCAGTCACAGCATCATTTTGCTTGGATGAGAGAAATCAGCTTTCCTCCTGCTCTTGGTACCTACTTAGTGGTTCCTTTTTTTTTAATTTGAAAGTTTATTCATAGCATTGAGCTTTGTAGTGGTATTGGTTAAAATCTTTGCTAACTGTTGCTGAGCTCATGCATAAAAATGTTCACTTGTACTGGAATGATTCACTGGACAGGCCTTGCAGGAAGTGGTCATTGTGAATCATGTTTTCTATTTAGGGCAAAATAGTTTCTTATAATGTTGAATGACTTAAGGAAAATCAGTTCCCCAGTTTCAGGGTCATGCAGTGTACTTGCTTCATGCTGTTATAATCACAGCTGAATCCAAGTGATTGCACTTCAGTAATGCATTTAGACTGATGTGTGCATTATGAGGCTTCTGGAGCATTGAGAGTGAAAAAATTGTCATAGTCATACAGCATAGAAAAGACCCTTCAGCCCACCATGTTAATGTCAGCCAACAACATCAAACTGCATTAATCTCATTTGGTCCATAACCTACTCTGCTGTGACATTTTAACTACTAATCCAGATGCTTCTTAAATGTTGCGAGAGTACTTGCTTCCAGCACCCTGCCAGGCAGCAAGTTCCATATTCGTACCACCCTCTAGCTGAATGTTCTTTTTTCTCTCAGATCTCCTGTAAACCACTTACTCCTCACCTTAACACTTAAGCAGTCTGGTCTTGGACATGTCTGCCGTGGGGAAAAGATTCTCACAATCTACTCTGTCTATGTATACCTCCCAGTGTACTTCCAGTATCCATGGTGACCAAATTTGTAGGAAGAGTGTTCTGCAGCTGCATGGAGCACCTGGAGCTGTAAGTAGACTCACTATGGAGCATCCATGATGCTGAAGCAGTTGTGGGTAGCACATTTAGTGAGCTGGTCACACCACTAGTAAGGGCTACACAGGCAGAAAAGCAATGGGGGCCCACCTGGAAGGCTGGCAAGCATGGGCAGGCAGTGCAGGAATTCCCTGTGACTATCCTCTCTCAATATACCTTGATATACTATGTTTCATATTGTTGGAGGAGGGTCCTCTTAGGGGAAAGCAGCAACAGCAAAGTTTGTGGTACCACGGTTGTCTCTTCTGTACAGAAAGGGAGACAAAAGACTGGGAGAGCTTTAGTGACTGGGGACTTGATTGTAAGGGGAACCAACAGGCAGTTCTGTGGCAACAAACGAGACCTTCCAAATGGTATGTTGCCTCCCTGGAGCCACAATCGGGGATGACTCAGAAGGTTGAGGGCATTCTGAAGGGGGAGAATGAACAGTCAGCAGTCATGGAGCATGTCAGTGCCAACGACATGGGTAAAAAAGAAATGCGGTCCTGCAATGGGAATTTAGAGAGTTGGGTAGTAGATTAAAGAGGAAGACTACTAAGACTGTAATCTCTGGCACTTCCAGTGCCATATGCTACTGATTATGAATAGGAAGAAAGGTCAGACGAACATGTAGCTAAAGGGATGGTGTAGAATGAGGTCTTTAGATTTTTGGATCATTGGGACAGCTTCTGTGGTAGGTGGGACTGGAATGGGTTGCACTTGAACCAGAATGGGTCTAATATCCTTGCTGGGAGGCTTGCTAGGGCTGTTGAGGATGTTTTAAACTGGGAAACTTTAAAAAGGTAGGGGAATGGGGCATGGAGTAGATATAAATTCAGGAGCAAGGTCCAATCAAATATAAAGCCCCACTCTTTTCATTTTACTTTATTTTTAATGTGGGCTGAAGTGGGAAGAGGACTGTCTTACAATGAAGAACTGAGGAAGGAATTGCTTACTTTTAAAAAGCATATTTCTGAAACTCGTTAAATTGTGTTAACACTGTTACTTTGCAAGAGTGGAGGAAGGTGTAAGATGGCACCGCTCCAATGTGTGTATACAGAGTGATATTTGGCCAGCAACAGGTCACTTATTGGTTTGTGGAGTTGTGACCAGTTGT